TGGACTGAAATTAACATGTTTGTGAAAATGCATGTTTAGTATTCAGACTCGTAATATCCTTTATTGGTTTGATTCACTGGAAATTCTTTAAAACTGAGTTCCCTTCATTATGTCTTTGAACAAGACAGCCACCCTCTTTGATACTTAGAACTGTCACCCAGTGCATGGGCATACTTAACCTGCCTTAAATTTATGCAACTTTGGCTGTCTGTCATATCTGCTGCTACTTTGTGTGTGGTGTGTTACTTAAGTCTGTTGCCATATCAATCAATCATCTTGTTAATCGAACCTGAGGGCCTGAAGAAGTCGACGCAAAGAGGTAAAGAGGTGCCTGCTAAAATCATTTATCAACATGATCTGTCATCCAGAACCCCGTTATTTACATGTGTTTGAACATTTAGATACCTACCATAAAATAAAAAGTGACTGATGAGGTGAAAAGGTAAGCTTAGGTAAAATTGGAAAACTTAAAATTTTAATATGTATGATAAATCCACCCATTAGCTTTATTTGTTTCTTGACCTGATGTGAAATAATTGTCCAGTACAAAATGAGACCCATGAGCTGACAACAAGTCTATATCTATTATAATTTGATATATGCAGGACCGTGTACCGGTAATTAGAACTGGTTCATTACTCTGAGATACAGTAGTATGTGGGAGATGAATTAAGCTGCATCGATTCCAATTACAAATGGCATCATAAATTGCATTTAGAGGTTCAGCTGAAGTGTGTTTACATGTCTGAGATAAAGAACAACAAATTAAGACATTTGTGACCTTGGACCACAAAACCTTTCACAAGGGTCAATTTTTTTTATTGAGATTTATACATCATCTGAAAGCTGAATAAATATGCTTTGTTAGGATAGGACAATATTTGGTCGAGATACAACTATTTGAAAATCTGGAATCTGAGGGTGCAAAAAAATCTAAATCGAAAATCGCCTTTAAAGTTGTCCAAATGTCTTAGCAACGCATATTACTAATCAAAAATGAAGTTTTGATATATTTACGGTAGGAAATTTACAAAATATTTTCATGGAACATGATTTTTACTTAATATCCTAATGATTTTTGGCATAAAAGAAAATCGATAATTTTGACCCATACAATGTTTTTTTTGGCTGTTGCTTAAAAGTATACCCAAGCGACTTATGACATTGTACAATTGTAACATTTTTCTTACAATTCTGATATAAAATTCTAGATATCAATTCAGAATTGTGAGAAAAAAGCCACAAATCACTTTTTTTTTTAATTCTGTGGATGAAAGAAAAAAAACTGAATTGTAAGATGTGAACTCAGAATGAGTTCGACTTGCAATTGTAAAATGTACATTCAAAATTCTTAAAATGTAAATTCTACATTCTGAGAAAAAACAGTCAGAATTGTGAGATGTAAACTCAGAATTCTGAGGAAGTCAGAATTTTTGAGATGTAAACTCGCGATTACGTGTTTATAATTTGCAACTGTGAGATATAAACTTGCAATTGTGAGGGAAAAAAGTCAGAAGTGTGAGAGAAAAAGTAACAGTTACCCTTTTTATTTTATTATTAAATCAGTCATTCCAACCCATTTTCACAGTGTCTGTATCCAAGAGGAATCTTGACAGGGGGGAAAGAAACAAAAGCCTAAATGTGTCAGAAACAGGAATATCTTGAGACTTGTGTCTTATAGATTCACAGAGCATTTGCCCAGGATTCCTCTAAGATGCTGTCCATACCGGAGCCCTACAACCGCTCTCAGTACTGCCAATGGCCCTACAAATGTCCTAAAACTCCCCCCACCTGTCCGCCAGGTGTGAGCTTGATCATGGACGGCTGCGATTGCTGCAGAGCATGTTCCAAACAGGTGGGGGAGGTTTGCAACGAGAAAGAAAACTGTGACCATCATCGTGGCCTTTACTGTGATTACAGTGCAGACAAGCCTAGGTACGAAAAAGGAGTATGTGCCTGTAAGTGTCCTTGTACTAACACAGCCTTCTTATTAACACTGTGTTCCGGTCTTAGATTAGATTACGATGGAGATTTAAAGGGTGGATTAAGGTGGCGGAACCCAGATAAACCAAGCCAGGGGATTCTGAGCAGAATTATAATACATTCTGCTCACCTTTTTAGCATATGTTTTCACACAGCACATCACATACTTTTCTTGGTATTGTATCCAGTATGTATTTGATGAACTTGACTGGTTTTGCTCTTTGTTGCTATCCAGATCTGCCAGGCACTGGCTATGAGCACAATGGTGTTATCTATCGCAATGGCCAGAGCTTCCAGCCCAATTGCAAATACCAGTGTTTGTGTGTGAATGGGGCGATCGGATGTGTCTCGCTGTGTAATGAATCTCAGCCCCCCAGGGTTTGGTGCCAGAACCCACGGCGAGTTAAACTCCCCGGCCGTTGCTGTGAGCAGTGGATCTGTGATGAGTCCAGGAGGGGACGCAAGACAGCACCAAGACACACAATGGCTGGTATGAGCTCCGGCGTCTCACAAACTTCCCGCAAATATCTGGAAACTCATTCTGGGCAAATAAGATAATTAGTTGATAATGGTTGAAACACGGGATTTGTGTTGTCTTCTTTTGCTTGCAGTCATGTTATTTGCATCATGCACGTGAAAACTGATTCTAAACAAGGCTGAACTGTTTTAGACAGTAGTTTATAACCTTTATATAAAAATGTTACTTCACAGCTCTGTATTAAAACTAGAAAGAAACTGATCCTTCTGCTCAAAAATAGACAATTAACAAATATGATTGTCAGAATTTCCAGACCTGTAAAACTCATGGAAATGTCTATATTAGCCTACATATGCATTCTGTAGTCATGATAAGTTTATATTATATTATATAAAAATGTAAATGTTCAAAAGTTTGGGATTGGTAAGATTTTGTAACGTTACACTACACTACACACACACAAGATTTTTTAAATGTTTTTGTCTCTTACATTCATCAAGGCTGCATTTATTCAAACAAGAGCACAGTAAAAAATAGTAATACTGTGAAATATTACAATTTAGAATAGCTCTGTTTTATTGTAATATATTTTAAAATGTCATTTATTCCTGTGATGGCAAAGCTACATTTTCAGCATCATTACTTCAGTCTTCAGTGTCACGTGATCCTTCAGAAATCACTCTAATATGCTTATTTGCTGCTCAAGAAACATTTCTTTTTTTATTATCAATGTTAAAAGCAGGAAACGGTGATATTTTCTGAAATGAAGAAAGCATTCATTGTCTTTGCATTCTTACAGCCCTGTCTAGTGTAAAGGACAACTGGCACAAGAACTGTGTGACCCAAACAACCTCCTGGAGTCCCTGCTCAAGGACCTGCGGCCGTGGAGTGTCTTTACGCATTACTAACAACAACAAGCAGTGCCAGATGGTCAAAGAGAGCAGACTCTGCAACATCCGGCCTTGCAAAGTGGACATCACAAAGCACATCAAGGTATATCAAGAACATAAACATCGGATTCAATGTAATATTCATTTTGCATTTGAGAGTGACATGAATGACTGTAGTGTATAAAAGGATATAAATACATTTTGACCCTGTGCCTTTTTGGCCCTTTTTTCATTTCTCCATAAGCCTGGAAAGAAGTGCTTGAACATCTACAGGGAGGAAAAGCCACACAACTTCACTATCTCAGGCTGCACCAGTACAAACACTTACTGGCCCAAGTACTGTGGAGTGTGTATAGATGAGCGGTGCTGCATCCCTTACAAATCTAAGACTATTGAGGTCGACTTTCAGTGCCCGAGCGGATCTGGCTTCAGCTGGCAGGTCATGTGGATTAACGCCTGCTTCTGCAACCTGAGCTGTAAAAACCCTAATGACATATTTACAGATCTAGAACAGTACCATGTGAAAGGTGAGGTTGGAAACTGAATGTATGACACCTTGCAGAAAAGTCAATAGAAAGATTTGGGTGAAAGCCATAGATTTTCTGAGCAAGAGTTATTATTTAATTGACCATCATATTTGGCCTTTTTTAGTATACGAGACTTTTTCCTATTGGAAAAACTGAAATAAACCAATATATTATATTTTAATACTATGTGACCTATTGCAACCAAATTGTTCATATGCTGTGAGTTATTTCAACCAAGATTATCAAATTTTTTGTCATATTGTGACAAATAAATCCTTTTGTACAAATGATGTAACTATAGGTATGTAAAAAGACTATCATATTGACTTCTGTAGTTAAAATCTTTAGTTTATACAAAGTCTATATAAAAAAGAAATGTATATTGCTTTTATGTATTGATAATGAAGTTTTTGTAGTGTCATGCCTTTTCCACATTTATGCTCTTAAATGACACTAGTTCTTGGAGTGAGTTTTGCCTTATAAAATTTGGTTTTCCACGTACTGTAACGTTTTGTATAGACAGTTCTTATTGAATTATCTAATAAACACAGACAAAAAAGGTTAAGTAACCAGCTTTTTATTTTCCTTTTTTTTGTTTAAATAAATACAAACTGTTATTCCATTAAAAATGCAGTGCATCCGATTGTTTTACATCTTTACAAAGCAGGGTGCCTTACCAAGCTGCAAGCATTTGTTTTAGTGTGTGTGAAAGAGCAGGTGAGTTGCTAATATTATCTTTTTCTGAGCGATCCTTCGTTTTACTCTTTCAAAGCCTTGAGAAAAGAAGCACTCAGTCCAAGCAGAGGATTCCATGGCACATTTTGTTCCGTTGTGCTTGATTGCATAGAAATCATCATCATCATCATCATCATCACAAACAAAAAAACAACAAAAATATCACTCATATACAGTCATTTACCTGTATTCGTATATCTACAAATTGGTTTTGTTGAATTTAAAATAAAGATTTTTTTTAAAACATGTGATCCTGTAAAAATCATTTAAAATCACTTTCGAGAGCATCAATCACTGAGTTACAAATGTAACCCAAAATAATGGGACACTCCCAACAAGGAAAATGCAAATAAACACATTATGAGCTTATACCTTAGTTTTATAAGGTAGGCTAGCATCATGAAAAAATACCACCGTCTCTACTCTGTGGTCAACCAATCCCTTTTCCATTCAATGAGGTCTACGTCAACATTTACAGATTATACACTTAATTATGCACTTAATCTAGCATATAAAAGTGGTATAATAACTTGACAAAAGAAAATTAATTGCAGACTAGAGATTAACATAATTGTACAAATGTGCCCTTCTCAGTGCCTAGCTTACTTGGATAATGACCATCAAAATGTCTCTGTGCTGCATTGCCTCTAACAACAACAACAAGACAGCCATTGCGCAGGGTGCAAAAAAAAGAAAAGAAATAACTCCATCATCCTGTCCTTCATCCACTCTATCCACTCCTTCCTCAGCATTTCCCCAGGAAATATAGTCTTAAACACAAGACACTTTGGCATAAATGCCCTCTGACAAATAAAATGGTGCAAGACCAATGAGTCCTGTTGCGTGTGTAGTTAATGGCAGCGCAGCACAGTCAGAACAGAAAGGTTAATGCATATGTGAGATGGACCGGAGACAAGGTCACCAGTCTAACAGGACACTTCGGTAGACTTGGGAGCCTGGTCCACAGAACTGTCCATGTTGTCAGTGTGCGAACGTGTGCGTTGGTTGTCTGAGGTGTGGGCTCGGGCACGGCCCTCGTTGGTGTGGGAGCGACTGCGGTTGCCCTCGTTAGTGTGCGACCTGCTGCGGTTGCCGTCAAAGGAAGTGACGCTGGAGCCGGATGCTGTGCGGGAACGGACCAGGCGGGGCATGCTGGCAGAGGGCACTAAGAGGCAGAGGAAGACAGATTAGGATACTTATTTTAAAGCTTTTTACATTTGCTGTGTATGTTTTTAATGTATTTTTAGTGTATTTTGCTACAATACTTTATATGACTATGTACACTACTGTTCAAAAAATTGGGGTTGGTAAGATTTTTTAAATGTTTTTGAAAGAGTCCCTTATGTTCACCAAGGCTGCATTTATTCAAACAAAAAATACAGTGAAAACAGTAATACTGTGAAATATTATCACAATTTAAAATAACTGTTTCTATTTGAATATATTTTAAAATTAAATGTATTCCTGTGATGCAAAGCTGCATTTTCAGCAGGCATTACTTAAAGTTTTCAGTGTCACATGATCCTTCAGAAATCTCTTTAATATGCTGATTTGGTGCTCAAGAAACATTTCTTATTTTGACAACAGTTGTGCTACTTAATATTTTTGTACACTTTTTTTTCTGAATTCTTTGATGAATAGAAAGTTCCAAAGAACAGCAGTTTTTGCAGTTGTTTATAAATTAGACATTTTGCTTTAAGAAAAAGTTCAAGTTGATCAAGTCAGGTTGAAAATTAAATCTCACCACTAGAGGGCAGCACAGTCCAGTCATATTTACTGCTATTTGCTAATGTTATATGTTAATTTTAGAGTTCAGGCAATGTACCATGGGTATTCCTTATAAAGACAAAGCTGTATGGTCAAATAGAGACTATATTAAACAAAAAGACAATATCAATACTTACTGTAACCCATGCCCTGAATGAAGTACTTGAAAGCCTCTGTTAGCTTCCCAGGCTAAGGAGACGATAAAAGCAGAAATTAGTTTATTTGACTGCAAAAACAGCTAATCGGGTCAAGGTGGAAAACAGATTTCCCTAAGTATATGATGTGAAACCGGATGGATTCTAACAGCTGGTAGCAGCAGGTGGCGAGCAGATTATTAGAATTGAGAACTACCGGCATATGCCATCGCTGTCCGTAATGAGATTATGGCGCACTTCATCCCTCATGATCATCCTGTGCCTTGAGCAAACTTATAAATTAAACTGAATGGTCATAAAGGTTATAAATACACACCTGGTCGACCTGGGGCAAGCCTCCACAGTCAGCCATCTGAAGAAAGAGAAGTGACATAAAAATGTTACTTAAAATGCATGAAAAACAAATGCGTCACTGCTTGTTTCTCATTTCTGTTTCTGCCATTCACACAGGTGTCTAAAACACCTAGCGCTCCATTAACTCCACTGGTTTTAAAGTTATTTTTACTTATCGGTAATCAATAGGCCATTTCAGACGCCATAAACCTAATTCTTAGTCCACCTGAGGGCGAGCTGTGGAAAATTAGGTCAGCAGAGGTAGTGTTCAGCCCTGGAGCTGGCCAGCGTGGACCGCTTCTGCACTACCTGGGTAAATTAGTCACTAGATAATGCGGAGCTATCAGAATCTTATCAGTGCTTGACTTTTCCATGTAGGCTATAAATACATGCCAGCTTCAATGGAGTCCACTCACCTTAAGCAGTGTGGTTTTGGTCGGGTCCAGCTTTGTGTTGCACTCAACCTGTACAGAAAACAGACGTGTTAATCCACTAAATACACATGCAGCAGATATGAAGTGTGGAGCAACAGTGTGCAAGATTAAAGGTTTTTAATAAAAAAATACTCATAAAATGTCTAGCAATAATAATGAAGTGAATCAGTCCTAAATTAAGCTTAAACCTACCACAACATCCACTGCTGGGGAACTGTCTCCAACTACCAGGAGCGCAGGACACCTGAAAACAGAGCGACAAAGTCATTACTACAGGAAATTCGTCCCCCATTGTCTAGAGTATTTTTTGGAACAATTTTAGACTTACTTTAGAGTTCTGACATTGACATGGCCACCAGATACAGGCCTCTCGATTTCCAGGTCTCTTCGGCTGTGAAGTGGATGAAAATATTAATTAAATGTTATATCAACACTAAAATAACCATCAAGATATTTTAGTAGCGGTGTTGTGTTTACCTGTTGTAGGACTTGACGAAGAGTTGCAGATTGAACTGGTTCATGTCATTCACAATGTGGTGACGGTATCTGCCAATGAGGTCATGGTTCTGCTGGATTTCCTCCTGGAGAAATAATAAGAAATAATAAGTATAAATTCATCCATTCAAAAATTATCTAGAATGGGTCAAACATTGACTAACCTTTCCAAACAGGTGAGAGATGATCATGTCAGGCATGGCGTGAGTCCAACCAGAGATCTGTAATTCAAGAAAAATGAGCCCATGACAGACACAAAAGCTTGAAACTCTATATAAGTGATGAATATTACATAAATTATAATCACAAAGTGGTAAGCACTCACTTTGTGTGCTGCCCAGTCCATCCAGCCCTCAGCGCATGGGTTGATGTTTATCAGCACAAGGCCTTCCGCCATAGCAGGGTGATCCAACTATAAAAGGAAACAGTATTTGTAAACCACATCTGAACACATCTAAACCATAATTTATTAAATAACGAACATGCAGATTAATTTTTTTACAAGGGACATTCCTCAGCAGCTAAACTAGCCAAATGAATGCCAAAATCCACAGGAAAAGAAACACTTGCAGCTCTTTATCCTGGTTTGATTAAAGTTTTAAATCACTTAAAAAGGAAGTCAAACTCACCGCAAACTTAGCAAGGATATAAGCACCCGCACCAACAGCCATGCCGATCACACTCTTCAGTCTGTGGGGTTTAAGAAAACCAGTTAGGATAGAAAATAATCCAAAATGTTCCTAAAACTGTTAAATAATGAAACGAAGACCTCACCCAAAATGTTTAAGAATTGATGGAAGTGTCTCAGACAGTTGATCCATGGAAGGGTACTCGTATCTATTAAAAATGAATTATTATTCTTCTGCATTAATTTACAATAAAGATTTCCACTTATATGTCTACACATGATAGAACTCACCCAGTGGAGAAGGTGTTTGCTCCGTCTTGCTGCCCTGGTGCATCTACATGACATACAGCAAAATGCTGCATGATCTCCTGCATATCCTCATGGTTGAACAAGGTGTCAAAGCAGCTTTTATCTATTGGAGAAGCATAATTTATCTCCTTTAGAAGAACCTCTTGATTAATGTGTATTGTAAAGCAACACAAAGAGATTTAGGGGACATTTTAAACTGTTTTATCATGTTTAAAATATATAAAATCTTACGGTTCAGTCCAATATCATGGTAGGTGAGGATGACGGGCCGGTCACCCTTAGGAACCCCTTTCATGGTACAGTGGACTCTGCCATATGGAGTCTCCACATCATGTTCCTACATGCAACATGGTAAGAAAACGCTCATCAGCATCTGCTGAACCATCATAAGCAGCACTAATCTCATCTGCAGTACAATGCATTATTACAGCACTTATCACAACAACAACTTGAACATTTTTTTCTCTATAACACCTTTCAGTTTTAAGACTTTTAATAGAGTAGCCTTTCTGCGAATGAGCCACAGACCAACTGCAAACATTTCAACACTCTATGCACTTTGGTTATAAATCTGTAAACTGTAAGATCACAGTCCATGAAAACTGTCTGTCTGATTTCATAACGTTCAACTACATCTACCAATTTCGCAAAGCATCAAACCCTAATTAAGAGCCAATATTAAATTTATAAATTTCCATTACATTTTATAAACGTGTTGTATTTGATAAAAAAAGATAAAAGGAAGAAAACAAAAGATTTTGACTACATGTAAACTATATTACCAAGTTCACATCTGCTAAATCTGCCTGTAAGGCATAAATAAATTAAGATATTATAAACACTTGAAACATTGTGTATTGTGAAAAGCACTATACAAATAAATTTGACTTGAATTTGTCAAAATCAAAACTTCATGCACAATTTGAACCACTAAGACAACAAAAACCCTAAGAAGTATGAACCAAAAGCAACATGAAGGTTTCTACTCACAGCGACTTCTATCTCGAATACTAATTCCATATCAGAGTCCTCCAGAACCATGGCTGCTGATATTAATTAGCAGTAGTGATGAGAACCAGTAGGTAAAATTGGATTGAAAGTAAGCTCCTGTTTGCGCACTTTGCTAATATTCATCTGTGCGCAGGGTTTTATACCCCTGTTGCCATCACTTGACATAAGCCCACACTCCCAGCATGCTTTGCACCAAGATCAAAACAAGTTAATTCTAGTTAATGACATCCATAAATTGGATCAGCCTGTATCAGATGCTTGGAGTAGCCGACTCTAGGCCTTCGGAAAATTAGGCAAGTGCAGCCAAACAAAAATTTGATGATTGTGATGGCAGTGTGCATTGGATAATTGTTTTTCATCACTAAAAACAAAAAAAAATCAGAAAAGAAAGTGCAACTGAGCTACACAAAAGCTCAGCACATGGTCATGGCAAATATGTGCTGCTACTTAAATTTTTTTTAAAGAATCCAACTTTTACTTTGGAAGTACTTTACTTTGACAAAATAACATTTCTAAGGAGAATCTGTATTTCTACACATTTTCCCATGTTTAACAGTGGAAACTGCATAGCCACTAAAACCAACAAATCATAAATCACCGCCAACGGATTGAACTTTAACATTCAATTTATCTTTCTTGAAGTTAATTTAGCACTAGTGACAAACAATGACAAATAACCACCATGCACTGTAAAAGTCATTGAGAAGAGTCTTTGAGTGCAGGCCACTGGTCAAAGATCAACTGGCTGACGCTGCAGAAACTAGTTTCAGCTACCTCAAGTTGCAGCACAAGCTGCTAAGAAAGTCAAATAACATCTTTAACACTGACAAGGACATAAACATCTTGCGCTTGGCTTTGTATAGTGACTGAACACAAACATCTGTTGTCTCTCTACTGGCACTAATCTCTTTAAACGGGACGAGCCCTACGTGAGCGCCTCGGGCAGATGGCCAGTGTATCCCTCAGCAGCCCACGTCATTGGTCTAGACGCTGAACACTCTTATTAAACACATGACCCGCAAACTTCAGGACTTTAATCTGTGTGAGGATCAGCACGAGAGGCCTGTTGGATGCAAATCTGTACTGTATCAGTACTGTTGTAATGCCATGGTGTCGGCAAAGAATGACCTCTTAGATTTTTGAATGAAGTCAAAAGGAACAAATGAAAAATGAGCACCATACAAAAAACTAAAAAAAAAGAAATCTTGCCTTAATCACCAACTGCTGGACAGCCTCTCTTAGCCCCTAGAATAGAGAAAACGGTTTAGGTTACCACAACATGTCTATATTGCATGCATAAATATGTACACTTAGTACAAATCTTTACAAATTGTGTGTTTCCCATACTTGCAAATCCCTGTCCCCGATGAGAGGCTTCGACTCAACTACTTGGATATCATCCATTCTCAATGAGGACACCTAGAGGTGGGAAAAAGGTGACATAAACACAACCATATTATTACCATCAAATCATTTACCACAATCTTCCTCCAAGGTCACAGAAGGAAGTATCAAATTACCATTTCCTTGTTTTTGTTGTGGTGTAATTCAACTTTGGCAATGATTATTTACAACAGCTTTACAGGAGCTCATAGGTGGATTCGAGGAAATAAGATACATTTTGTATCTCTGGATCATTTGGGGAGTTTTTACACAATGGCAGATTTTTTTATGCTTACAATTTCCTATTTTCAAGTTTCAAGTTTTTTATGCCCATACATATGACATACATGTGATGTATTGAAGGGAAATGCTTATACCTAGTTTCTCATCCTACATTGCAAAAAACAAAACAAAAAAGACTATCAAGAATATGACGTGAATAAAAATAATAAAATAAAGTATAAAGAACAATTTTCAAAATATACAAAAACTATACAATGTATCCATTTATCATGTTATGTTTAATATAATTTCACTGTTAAAACAATAATTTCATTACATTATTTTTGCAACTGTAATCTAGGGTAAATTTATTTGATGCCACTCCTGTGCAGTATTGAATAGTATGAAAGCATGCTTCTGATGCAGCTTTTGTACATTTTGTCTTTTGCCATTTGAAATATTTGGCACATTACAAATACATTTCTTTATTTTGTTTTTAGATTATATCCTCAGCGCTTCAAAACGGCTTAATTAGTTTTAAATGGTGCAGATAATGCATTTCAAAAGATGACAGTCTGAATGTTGATGTGGATGTAAATGGAATGAGAGCTTGAACAGGCTCTTTGTCTGGCTGAGGTTTCTAAAGGTCACATGTCAGGCTTTTCCTCTGTAGTGGGCCTGGACGCTACACACAGGAAACCACTGACACAGCTGCTTCCATGGCTACTGCAGTCAGTCCCTGCACCCCTTTAACACTAGCAAAAAATAAAAGCCTTTGTGTCTTATCATCCCACAGGTTCAAGGAGTGTTCCTGTACCAAGCCCCTATAAAAAAGCAGCGATTGATTTTTTATTCACAGTCGAGCTCTATAGGAACCAAGCCAAGATGTTTATCAAGAGGAATTTCTGTAGTTCAAAAACCATGATTGTGCAGTCCATCATTTGCTGAGGTTTCTACAGCAAACCCCTACACGATTTCCTGACCAGGATCATGTGAGAACTAAAATTACTAATGGATACTAGACCAAGCTAGAAGAAATCAGCTTAATGAGACTATATTTAAAATACATATAATCAAATATAAGAAAAGTGAATTAACAAGCAACGGTTAGCTGGCAAAGAGGTCACCTGCTTGTTTTTAAACTGTGTGCCCTTATGGCCTCTTTTGAATAATCTTTTACCTGGGAGTGTCAGTAATGCCTCAGCAGGATATAAACCGGAGCAACATAAGAACAGATCCTGCCCTTCCTATGCCCTAGAATACGCACTATACTTCAAAACATCCAAATTCACCGGTCTGCTTCTCCGGACCAGGTTTCCATTATAGTTTACAATGGTAAATGAGACTAATTAATGCCTTACATTAACTACTAATTTAATAATTTATCAGTATTGGAACGTTTCAGACAAATTTGTAACAGATGCATTGTGTATTTGTATGAATATGTGCAAATGTGCATATATTTGTTTTCATTAACTTTGAGACACTATAAAGACTTAAAGGTTTACTTCGGTTGCTATTGCATCAATGTCAGTAAGTATAATGTTTATGCTGGAACATAAGCACAATTGCAGCTGCACCCTGCAGAGGAGAGGAACATTTTTGTTTCACTTCCCATAACCACTTTTTTCTTCTTCTTTTCTGAAATCCAATTCATGGATCACATTTTTATACTGAGAGAGATACTGAACTCAATGCGCATTAGACCAATCCCTGCAGGGGTCCAACAAAATTTCTTCACCATTTAAGCAATAACACTTGTTGACCTACAACACTAATAGAAAATAATCTCTGATTTTCCTATTTATGTTTCACATATGTAGTAGGCACATGCTATTTTGCCGTGTATTCAGTTGATGCTTCTGCTGTTGTATGAGTAAAGGTGTCTTTACACAGCCTGCTCTGAGGATGCCAAAGGAAATTCTAAAATAAAATAAACCAGCTCTGATGCACCTCAGTGCCTAGGATCAGAAGTGGCCCTGATGCTGCTTTGCTTTTGTGCAAATGAAATGCAGTATTGGAGTACAGTTCAACTTTGCCGTTGTCGTGAGCAAGCTTTTATTTAATGAATTATATTATTTATTAATTCCATATTTTCATTCAGTCCATGTTTATATTCACGTCTATAATTGCATATTCCTAATTTTATACTTAAAATGATCATTTCATAAAAACAAAGTCAAAGCTTTTATGGCAACAAAGTCTTCTACTGAAGCTTTATGATCTGCTTTGGAAAAACGCAAACTTGACGTTAACACGATCTATTAGTATTTCACAAATGTCTGACATTGTATTTGATCTGAAATGCTGTCTCCGGCTAAAAACTAAAGCAATCCACTAGTTTTATTACTAGCAACATTTTAACATTAAAACGAATGTAAAAAATAAAATAGCACTTTTTATGACTTACCGGTTATTATCCACAAAATAAAAACAAGTCCAACAAAACAAAAAAGTTTTTGCAGAGTTTGAGGGGTGACAATTGACTACGTGCTGCTCGCGAGAGGATGTAGCAGGCAATTTTATAAAGATGTGTTTAGTCAGTCCTGCCCACTCCTCATGCTATTGGGCAACTTCACTGAGTCATGCCTTCCTTTCACAGCATTGCATGAGATATGATGTGTTCACTTGAGGAAACTGTCTCGACTATAGGACTGATCTTCTCCTACAATAAAAGTTAGAAAATAAGCTTTGAGTGAAGTTGATGTTATTTGATATTTGTTCATCTGTATTCTGTCCCTGCATACTGCCATTTGCTGTAAAAAGTAATACAGAATCATCTCAAAGCTGGTTATTCTTTTGAATCAATAAAGTATTGTTCAGAGGAGTGCATGCCTTTGTATGTGTCTATGCGTGTGTGTGTCCTCTCTAATCACACAATGATTTCACTGTGGTTAGCTAATATGAGGCAGTGATAGCAAGCACATTCACAATTGCACAGAAACTACCATTATGCTGATCAACTCAAGCACCATTTACACCACAAACGGAATAAGACGGCAGAATAAATGCAGACAGAATTGACTTCTAAAGCTGTGTTCAGCATGAGAGACTTTTCATAAATCAAAACTGTCAGATGATAAGAGTGTTTTTAGGTTGTTTGATGTAAAGCTGGGCAGTCGGCCAGGTGAAATTGTGTTGTGGAAAAATACTGAAACCATTGATGACCAGATAAACTTTTAAGATTTATAGGCAAAAGCATATTGAATCAAAGAGTACACTGCTCGGGTTAATAAACTAGGTTAAAGAGAATAATAACTGATAAGGATTGTGGACTTTTACCTAACAAGTTCATATCTCTGTGTACTCACACAGTGTTTTTCGTGGAGTCTGGTGCTACTCGAATTTATAATCATCCACCTACCATCTCCGTTTATATAAAAAAGACAAACTTGATTCTTGTAATAATTTTACTAATCTGGAAAAATTAACTAAAATCAATTGAACACATGCAGCTATAAATAAATAAAAAATCTTACTTACTACCTTTTTTAATTAAATATTATACCACACATTTTAAAGAATGTCATTCAGTTATGTCAGAACTTTGTGTTAAATTGTGGTTTATTTGGGGGTCAAATGTGTACATTTCTCACCTTTCTGTCAAGTCTCTGTTTTTCACAGAATCTGGGTTAATGACATTGGCTTATATTTGTGTCCTTGTACTTGCAATACAGCAGTTTTCATCTTAAGATCCTCATATCTGGTTTGCACAACATGTAGGTTATTGGATGCCTCAGAAAGAATAGATAAACATTGACCTCCCTCTCCCTACAGGCTTTTGGCATCCGACAAATCAAAAGAATAAAAGGAGGTTCAAGACCAAAGGCTGTTTTCTGCTGTGGCCATCCAAGAACAGGACAAAACAGTCATTATGTTATCATTTAACCACACAGACATGCCCACATCATCTGAACATAATGGCTGGTATTGGCACACAGAATAAAAGGCCTACACGCCTTCATTTCAGGTACTGAAAGGTCAGTGAGGGCTAGTTTGACATAGAAATGTTGACTGACAAGAGTATAGTAGATTCTTGCCCTTGTACCTTGCCATTGCTGACTTGTCTAATTCTACAACATGCCACCCATTCACAAACCAAACCTCTTCCCTTTTAAGGCATTATTTTACACTTTAATCTACATTAATCAAACAATAAATTCATAATTATAAATTAGTAATATCCTAGTCCTCCTAACATGCATAGTCACAGTCAGCTTAAACTGCATTAAACTGCTTTAGTGTAGATGCAGTATGTGATGCAATAACAGTATTCAGATGTAGTATGAATCATACTAAGCCGTGATTCAGACATGACATGAGACAGCACTTATAGGACTGTCTGAAATGTAGGCCTCACCTCAACCTATCACGTAGTTCCTCAGAGCATGTGCTACTTAGTTCAATGTCACATATTACTGATTTACTAAAAGGGATAATAGGACGTCTTAAAAGTTACACAATGACAATAAACACTATTTTCGGTGCATAATAGGACTGTTAAAGCCGTTTATGGTCATTTTTGTAAGTATTAACCAATGGATCAATAACCAAAATGTGATGGCTTCATTCACAGACAATGAAATAAGTTGCAGAATTAGGTCATGATGTACATACTCAATAAATGAAGAACTAGGTAATTATGTGCCAACACAAACTCTTACCAGTATGATCAAAGTATTATGGATTATGCATTAATGTGTGTTGTGGAACAACACAAACAGTGACTCATAAACAGACAATATAAACAAGCACATGCAAAAGAACCCCCAGCATATTACAATTACACAAAATCTTAACCATTTATCAATTGTGAGGAAGTTTCTGCGATCACGTTATTGGTGTCACTGGTACATGTATAATATTTTTAGAGGTCGTTTCTGACTGAGGATTTTGTATCTGATCTTCGATCAGTTTATCTCCATTATCAGTCCTTGTCACTGGAACAACAATTATAATTGCACTTTACTGCTCATTTCACTTTGATGTTTAGGATGATAAAGTTACTCAATAACTACAGCCATAACTTTTAGGGCATAATTTTTCAATGTGAAAGAAATGTTTGGTTTAGACGTATTGTTTTCTAACTACTTTCTATACTAATATTATACAAGTATTCCAAATATTCAACCAACAAAAATGCAATCATAAAACGCTTATAAACATTTCTCTCCCTCTGGGCTTATGCATTTTCTGTGAGAAGTGCTAGATATTCCAGTTGTTTCTTCATTTCTCACAGTTTTATCCAGACACACCCTGGGCCGATCCTCGGCCAAATAATAAACCACTCTGCGTGAATTATTTTAACAGCTTCATCTTCACAAATTTGTGAAAGTGGATTGATTTACATGTTATTGTACCAGAGCTACCTGAGGGATCACCTGCAGGAACACTCCTTCTGCTCCACCATGTCCATTTTACTCTGACCTGGCAACATGCTAGAATTCCTGCTACAGGTCATTGCCTCTGCTGATGTGATGGCTTCATTCACAGACAATGAAATAAGTTGCAGAATTAGGTCATGATGTACATACTCAATAAATGAAGAACTAGGTAATTATGTGCCAACACAAACTCTTACCAGTATGATCAAAGTATTATGGATTATGCATTAACGTGTGTTGTGGAACAACACAAACAGTGACTCATAAACAGACAATATAAACAAGCACATGCAAAAGAACCCCCAGCATATTACAATTACACAAAATCTTAACCATTTATCAATTGTGAGGAAGTTTCTGCGATCACTTTATTGGTGTCACTGGTACATGTATAATATTTTTAGAGGTCGTTTCTGACTGAGGATTTTGTATCTGATCTTCGATCAGTTTATCTCCATTATCAGTCCTTGTCACTGGAACAACAATTATAATTGCACTTTACTGCTCATTTCACTTTGATGCTTAGGATGATAAAGTTACTCAATAACTACAGCCATAACTTTTAGGGCATAATTCTCTACTGTGAAAAGAAATGTTTAGTTTTCTAACTACTTTCTATACTAATATTATACAAGTATTCCAAATATTCAACCAACAAAAATGCAATCATAAAACGCTTATAAACATTTCTCTCCCTCTGGGCTTATGCATTTTCTGTGAGAAGTGCTAGATATTCCAGTTGTTTCTTCATTTCTCACAGTTTTATCCAGACACACCCTGGGCCGATCCTCGGCCAAATAATAAACCACTCTGCGTGAATTATTTTAACAGCTTCATCTTCACAAATTTGTGAAAGTGGATTGATTTACATGTTATTGTACCAGAGCTACCTGAGGGATCACCTGCAGGAACACTCCTTCTGCTCCACCATGTCCATTTTACTCTGACCTGGCAACATGCTAGAATTCCTGCTACAGGTCATTGCCTCTGCTGATAAGATGCAACCAATTACTGAAGTGGAAAATTGCTCTGACCTGACTTTGTTTTGTTTTCCATGAAAATAACCTTTAAAACAGGACCTAAACTCATTCACTAACAACTTGCCGAAGGCAACAATACAAGGTAACCAGCCACCATCTTGTCCAAACTGAATCTTTAGGTTTCAAATATTTCCTGACTGCAAAACAACAGCCTAGAAAGGTTCTAATTACTATTCTTGTCAGGCATGAATTGACAACATTCAAAGTAAATGCCTACCCATATTTCCATGTATTTTATTAGATGGGGAGACTGTTACTGTAAGTGCAAACAAGACAGCTGCACCACAGGAGGGCCACAGATATTGATATTACTGGAAACAGGAAAACTGAGTATGGAATTTCTGGAAAAAACAATTCAGATATTCACCTTCTGCTTCATCTTCCACAGCTGGAGAGGTTGAGTCCACAGGCCCTTCTGGCCGAGTCTGTGTAGCGATTGGAAACTGAGTGCCTGACAAATCCTATGATGAAAGCATCACCTTATAATGCTGAGAAGTACAAAAGAGATGTTTTGCTCTTCTGCAAAGCTCATGATTTACGGTGCTTATAAGAACAAACACTGAAGGAAAGATTTCAAGTTTCTTAGTTTGCAAGTTTAACAAATAAATAAGTAAACAATGAAGAAATTACTTACCCAGGATTTTTTTGTCAGTAAATCTAAGCCAAAGGCAGTGGTAATAATTACTAAATTGCTGAGCTAGATAATGGACACAGCTGCCTTGCTAGGGCAATGTCTCTGTTAATCATTTTATCCACCTTTTGACCTTATAGCCAGTCATAGGTCTTTGGGCAATCTTCCTCTCCTGCCCACAAAAAAAAAGGCACATGATCATAAACCCAAGTTAACTTATTTTCTAATGAATGGTCAAGTCTTTTCTGAAAATATACTGAAGTAACAAATGTAATATTACTTAATGTAATACCTTTGGTCATAAATAAACAAACAAACAAACAAATAGGACAGGGCAGGATAGGATGGGATGGGATGGGATAGGAATATGAATAGGACAGGATAGGATATTTATAGGATAGCAATAGAAATATAAAAATAATAGAATTCTATTATTATA